TCAGCAGGACTGTTCTTGCCCGTATTTCAGTTAGCAAGTGGGTGAAGCTGTGGACAAGCATGCAGGAGGCAAAGAGAGGCACTGCAGGGACATCAATACCCTGCAACAACTGCAAGAAATTCTCCCCCTTACTGAAAACACTCACTCCCAGTGATATACCTGCTAGACAGGAGGAGCAGGATGGGCCCAGGTCTCCAGCATAAAGGAGATGGATAAACATCATCCACTGATTAAATGCACAGAAGGTACAGTGCAAGAAGCTATTAAATAATTCCTCCCTCCTGAGGCACTTCTGCTCTCCTCTTCCTCATTTAATGACATTATTGGATGGGAGAAGGTCTAATACTGGGGTCTGACTGTTACCTCACATGAACTGGGATAGGCACACTGAAGGCAACAGGAGCAAGTTATGTCCACCACTCTGAGGATGGATGCACCAGGCCGCTTCCTTCTCCCCCTCCAACATTTTGCTCTTCCCATTTTAATAAAGTGAATACAGCACAGACAAAATTCCCTTGGCACTTTTTGGTTTGCTATTCCCTTTCTTGAGCACAAGTTGTTTGGATCCTTGCTCAGAGAAGAAGGGGCTGAACGCACCATTAGTCAGCTGATTTACAACTGAACTGAGAAATACGCTGGGGAAGAGAGGAGGAGGAATGCCTCTGGTTAGGCACTGAGGAGCAGATCATGTAAGCAGAGTGATACAAAGCCAGTTCAGACAGCTACACAGAGAAAGACAGCCTTGCAGATTGCTGCAAAATAATACTGAAAGATCTGTACGAGCTTCCAGTCATCTCACAGCAGCTGCTCCCTTGGTGTGTGCAGACAGGGTAGCTCAGTATTTTAACTCATTGTCCTATAAAGATGCTTCAAGATCTAGTGCAAAGGCAATTATGCAAAACTTAATTCTGCACCAAGAGGGATTACAGAAGCATTTTATAAGAAGTCGCATAGTAAAAGGCAATTGCACAAGCCAACAAGCAGCTCAATTAAAATGACATCTTGCTAAGCTGCTCTACACGAGCCGGCCTTTGAATGAAGGCTCACGCCAAGGGTCCACTGTAGTGGGCTGTGCTCTTTTCAGTATCCAAGCAACATGGCAAAGCCTGCCAGCACACAAATTACAAGGGGTACCTTATTTCCAGAGAAGGGAACCGGGGCTAACACACACACACGCAGGGATGCTCAGCTTAGGCATATGTGAAGACATTGGTTTGACACTCGGAAGAGGGTAAGCGCATCTCTTATCTGGTAACTGCCTGACCTTTGAAAGCAAGTTGCAGCTGTTGGCCTCACCGTGTCCACATCTCGAGAGCAATGCTGAAGATCAAAACCTCACAGCTGAGAATCAGCAAACTTCCCCACATGCTGTTACAAAGAAGTCTCCCGAAAACCCACATGGTGCATATGCAGCATGGCACCATGAGTTTAAGTATGGGCATGGGCTTGCTACCGGCCACTTTCAAGCACACATATTCAGACAGCCCATCCACTCACCACTGCTACAATCTTTATGCACCCACATCTCAAGCAAAACACTTAGGTTTTATATTGCACGGACCTTTTAAACTTTAACGCATCTGTTACTGCACCATCACCCCAGCAGACAGCCCCTGTTCTCACACAGGAGGTTTCCAACACAGCAAGTAGAAGTCATAGGAAGACAGGCCTCTCCCATACCCTGTCCTGCCTGCATATTCTTAATTAAAAAAAGGTAGCATCTAAGGACAGAGAGATTCATCCAAGTCTTAAAAGAAAAGAAGAAACTTAAAGAAACTTCAGATGACACCAAATTATAAATGATAGCTTTCAGTTATTTTCAACTATTTTGTTTCCCTTGATGCTAAAAAAATAATTTGAACAAAAGTCAGGTTTGAGGCAAGCAGAAAAACCCCTCTTTCCAAATGAAAATAACACTGTCAAAACTTTTAGATCAGCAACAATACTTTTAGGTTATCACTAATCACCACAATCGCTCATGCTGTATGTGGAATAATCAGTTCGATGCTAGCAATACAGCACTAGAAGCCACACTGACACTGCAGAGCAGCATCAACTCTACCTGGGGATTATTTCTCTCATCCCTTTAATCCCCAAACAGTTTGGGGCACAACCCTGACACAAGGGCAACACAACAGCTCCAACAACATTTTTGTTTCTGGGAGGGCATCAGTTGGAGTGTCTTGCCGACATGAAGCCTCCAGGACCCCCATCCCTCTAGCTGCATGCAGACCTGCCAGTATTCGCAGGGGAAGGAAGCTCTGTCAGCCAGAGTCACCTTTCAGACTCAGATCTGAAGGCTATCCCTGGCGCACTGGGAGCGTGCTAGCACGCACCCTGTGCACACCACAGACCTCCTAGCACAGCCTGCAACAAGTCTCACACACCACACACCTGCTCAGCCCACGTACCCTTCCCATACCCACAGCAGCCACCCCTTTTCTCAGGAGCCAACACCGGGTGCTACCTGCCATGCTCTGCCGGCTCCTTCTCCCACGAGAGGGGGCAGCAGCAGCAAGCAAAACGCCCCTGAGACAGCCAGAAGCTGGGTTGCCTGGGGGTTTATTTGGGGTTGGGTTTTTGTTTTGTTTTAAATCAAACTTCTTCAGTTGTGGTAAGATGTGTCTGGCATACAATTATTCCTGTAACCCTGCCTTGTGCTCCTCTAGTGTTTTAGGATGGTGCAGGTTGATTTAGCAGTGACAGCACAGGAGAGTCAAGAAGCGAGTCAGTCTCTAAATGAAAATATTCCTGCGTTCTTTTCTGAGACTGAACAGGAAGCAAGCATTATGTTAAGGTAAAGCTTAAATGTTTAACTATAATACACATATATTTCTGCACAAAGCACAGCTGTGGGATGAGAGAAAACCTAACATGACTTTGCCATGTAAACATTAGACAGAGACAGGACAGAACCTGTGTTCCTCAGGTGTTACCAAGCTCTGACAATAACCAGCAGAGAAATACTAATGAAGAAAACAAGTGTCTACACAGTGCCTATCTGGGCACTTTGGGTCAGATCCTGACATTATGCAGATTACCAGGGCAAGAGGCAAAGTCAGCACCGCCAGAGCATGACACTTGTGAGCTGGGCACACGGGATCCAAACTCCTACCAACAAGCCTTGGCAATCTGACAACTTGTTGATCAATATCACAGCAGTTCCCTGAGCTGCTGGCACTCACCTTTGGCTGTGACCATTCCAAACACCATCCAGGAAGGGCAATATATTAAATAGCGCTGCAGTAGAAAAAGTCACAGGCATGTGAAAGGATACATCCCCAGGATAACTGCTTCAAGGCATTTGATAGGTAAGGACTCCCTGGTCATTTCTTTTGCTGTCTCCATTAACCTAGGACAGAAACAAAAAAGTTTTCAATCCTTTCAGGTGGAGCAGTTGACAGGAATACACCAAGAGCCAGATGCCTCCAGTTCTTATCTCAGCAAGCGCTGGTGAACTTGATTCTCCTCTTCAGCGACTTGCCAGAGCCCTGTTGACTTCTGGAGGATGACTGGGGGGGGCGGAAAAATTAAAAAAAAAAAAAGATGGGTGTTTGACATCCCAGTGCCTACCAGCCTCTGAAGATGGGTTGGAGGAATGCAGTCCCCTCTGCCTCTCCCAACAACTCCATGAGCATCACTTCAGACTGTAACACAAAGCCCTGCTGAGCTGCAAAAGCTGTCAATCATGCAAGCTCCCACAGGAGGAGCAAGTTTAGCTTATTTTCAAAGTAAGCCTGGCTCTCCTCTAGGAAAAAACAGGGGAGAGAGGTTGGTTATATGATGGTCCCCGAAAGCTACAAATGCCTCTATGAGCATATGGCTATAGGTGCAGACAAGAATTTAATGCCTTTTTACTGAAGCCTGCTCTGCAGAAAGCTCTAGGAACACAGACACTTCATACCACTGCAAGCTGAGTTATGATCTTGCTGTTGCTCCCCACTTCTTGTGGGCTGGGAAACTGGTAAAAAACATAGGATTCCCTGCAGGAGTACAGGAAACTATGCAGGCCCAGGATCTTGCAAGTTCACAAAGTTTAGTTACAATCCGGACTCTATCTTTGGAGCAGTTATCTGACCAGTACAACACTGTGACAAGAAACAAGCAACCTAACTTCAGCTCCACTAAGAGAGCTGTCATGCCATATTGACACCGCACCATCAACCAACTAGGCACCCTAGCCCGTTCCACAAGCATATCCTGAAATCCTGGAAAGTTAAAAAAAAAAATACTAGGAGGAGATTAAAAAAAGGCCAGAAGAGTCATATTCAATGACACTCCCCCCACACACAAAAAAAAAAAAGCTAAAAACAAGCCAAAGGCTTACTTCTATTTTGAAGTCTTCTCTATCCATATCCTTTTCTTGAGAAGAGCTTTGTAAACAAATCCCTACTCTAAGGAAACATGACCTTAAATTATAAAAATATTAGTATTGGAGATGATGATGAAAAAATGCATCTGAAACCATTAGAGTCTGTTTTTCCCACTTTCTAATTCACCCACCTCATACATTTTAAACCATGTATTGAGTGCAAATGGCAATACAGCTTTCACCGCTATTACAGCCTGTCACAGCCATTCTGTGTCCCATTTACCCAAGTTAGAAATTATCTTTTCATTTGTAAACAACCACCCTTTACACTCTCCCTGCAGTACAGAAGACAAATTAGAGTTAGCCTGCCTCCTACACACTCACAATCAGCCACAGAAACCCCACTGCTGGAAGCACAAAAGCAGCTCCGGCAAGGGTGCACAATGGGGCCCCTTCATCCCCCACAGTGGCTCCTCAGTGCTGGTTGCAGCAGTAGCTGCTGCAAAGCCCTGTCTCCATCTGGAAAAGTATTACATGCGGACGAGGAATGGGAGGTGTCCGTGAACAAGATGATCCATTGAATTTCCTATCTTCTAACTCCAGGGGGAGTTAAAAAAAAAAAAAAGGATCACAGTTGATTATGAATGTGCATCAGAAACAGGAGAAAGCTGAAGGCATAAAGCTATTTAGCTTCAAGTCATTTATTGTGGTGTATGCCTGGTTAACGCGGTCCAAGGGACAGTGCCAGCGTCTCCTCCTCAGGTCCACAACTACGCTGATCCTGCTGCTGGCAGGCAAACACAGTAACCATGCTGGAGCTGCCTTGTCACCACATACAGCACCACGTCTCCTAACACCTGCCTTTAAAAGCCCACTGCTGTCATGATTTCAAGGTGTTGTCAGCATGGAGGTAACGCTAATGGCTCCACAGCCAGGAAGGAAGTCTTCAAAGTAATTGGCCTAAATGAGCAGTCAAATTACTACCAACTTATCTGTCACAGCAACACCCACACTATTTAAATACTAAGTTGTATTTAACACGCACTCTGTTTGCAAGCCACATAGACATTGGTTCTGAAGCACAGCTTTCCAGGATGCTATACTGTTAGACCGATCTAAATCGAACAGGAAGGCATTCTGCTTGCTTAAAAACACGCTGCCCGCTAGTGCACGGTACCACAGCTGTCCTTTCTGAGGCTAGCAGCAGCCCTGCCTTCCCTTTGCATAGCATCGTCAGAGAGCTGGGCTGGGAAGGGACTTGGGGAACTCTTCCTGTCCCACCTCCTGCTGCTCAAAGCACCTGGGTCCATGACCTGCAGCACGTGCTCAGCAACCACGTAGGACCTGGCAGCTCATATAGCCATGGCCTCCAGACCGTGACAGTGATGAGGACCCATGCAAAGGGAGCATCAGTCAGGAGGCATCACCAATGATCAACAAACAAGCATCCATCTGCACCCACAGGGCAGGTCACACAGTCGCACACACCCATCTCAGAGTCCTAGGGAATACTCCTCAAACAGTTTACTTTTTCTCTGCATTTACAGCACATACCACAGGGTTGGATGACCAGTTCACAGGCCACAGAGTTTTTCTTCTGCTTTGAACAAGCTCGAGATGAAGCATGGCCTTAAACCCTGTGTTTGCAGTGGAAGCTGAGCCTTTGGAGAATCCCCAAGCCACCATTCCGTTCAAGGTAGCGTAAGCCAAATCTAAAGCACTTCTCACAGATAATTTTCCAACCTACTTTTAACTGGTTTCTTAAAGGCTTGGGAACCCACCAGTTAATCCATCCTATACTTAACCTTGCATCTAAGGTCTCCTAATGTTTAAACTAAATCTTTCCTTTTTTGCAATTTAAATCAGAAGCTATTTCTGCTATCCACAGTGGGCATGGAGACCATTTATTATCTCTCCTCTTGCAACAGACATTTGTATATGCAACAGGCTGTAATCTACCCTATCCTCTGTAAACATGAGAAAGCAGACACAGATTTATGTTTGTTTTTTCTAATACCTCCCTCTCTCACGCCAAAGTTTTCCCCTTAGGTTATGTTTTCTAGACCTTGCAAAATGTTTGTTGTTTTCCTTTTGCACTCTCTTCAGCTGATTCCCATCTCATGGTCCTTCAGCTAAGCCTACCAGACCACAATACAAACAGACCAATTTCCTTCTGAAACCAGCTTTCAGTATATTTTTGCAACCAACCCTTTTTCCCTCCTGACCCACAGAGAATATTTTGGGGTTTTTTTTTGGTTGGGGGTGGGGGGCACCACTTTCTAAGCACTGCTTTTCACCAGGTTGGATCCTTATGTTAAACAGTTTTATTTAGAGTCAAGGTCCCTGCCATCCTGGGAGGCTGCCAAAAGCCATACTAAAGAGTTATCACATCCACAACTTCTCCCTGATTGACAAAAGTTCTTAACACTCTTATAGAAGGAAATTACCAGAAACAAACTGTGCCAAATTAAATTAGCATTGCCTATCACTTACCCTGAAACTGCAGACAAACTCAAGAAGTTGCTAGACTTATCTTTTCCCTTATTTTTTTAAAGGCTGGTATTTTTGCCTTCCCCAGTTTCCAACAAAAGTACCCATTCTCCCCACACTCTCCAACAGAATTATTAATGGTTGGAGGTCGGTTGTCTGTTCTCTAAGTGATCTAGAACAAATGATGGAGCATCCAGCTCATTTGAAAAGAACTCATTACAAGTGCTCTTTGACTTGTCCTTTCCCTTCTTTTTCTTACCATGCTGTCTCAGATGTTAATTGTGACCAGAAAGTCTGCACAGTTAAACTTGTGAATGAAGATTTAAGGAAGGCATAAAAGAATTAAAAAACAGGATTTTTAATCGAACATTTCGATCCCCTTCCTGAGCAGGGTTTGTTTCTGCAATTTTCTGTAAATCTTTCCAGTTATCTGAAAAAGACTTCACATACATGGCTAATGCAGTACTTTACAATCTCGTATCACAGATAACTGGGAATTAGCCCAAAGCCACCCTCCTCACAAACCCCAGTGAGCACAAGGGGAGCCCATCTCTTCCAAGAAGTCGAGGGAGACTGCTACAGGCAAAAATAAGCATCATGCAACTTCCCTCTTTGCAGCATTTACACCACTACCTGAAGTCTGCCAGGCAGATGTCTATTCTAGACCACAGTGAACATTTCTGCCTCTCACAAATGTAGCCAACAGGAATGGGCTGCGTGCTCCTCCCTTGAGATCTAGTCCTTGGCAGATGTTCATATTTCCTTGTTAATTGACTCAAAATTTTTGCAATGTTTTCAGGAGCCCACCTGGATTACCTCTCTTACTTTCAGCAGTAAGGGAGGGCCCATAGAGGAGTTGGGTTTGCCTCTTTAGGATGCTTTCTGTTTAAAATGGCAGTGTCTGCAGATATCTTGCAGGAACCATGAATGCCTTTTGCTCACAGATTTTTCACCTATATTTTTCATATATAGATTTAGGAAAATCATCAAAATTTTTAGCATGCCCCAAACTGGAGGATCTCACCAGCTGCCACCCATCACACTGGAGTCAATTCAGGAGACAAACATGCTTAGGAGGAGTGATTGTGCATTACATTCACAAGAAAAACTCCTACAGACTTCAGTAAAATTTGTACTAGGGAGATCCTCCAGCACATTTTCCACAAACTTCTCCTTCCCCAGGCCCCTGTACGTGCATGAGGTCCATAAAGTCTCTGTCTCCCAAGGTTTTCTAAGGCTTCCAGCAGTTTTATTCTTCCCAATGAAGTCAAGAGATCAGTGAAAAGAACCAACAGGAGTAAAAGGAGATAAAACAGCAGAGCAGCTACTGCTCTCATGAATCTTCTCAAAACCAGTTTGTTTCAATGGCAAAAGCACTTTTACCACATGCTAAACATAGCACCGTATCTGTAACATTCTCCCTTTGTGCGAGAGAAGCAGATGTTCAAATGCCTTCTGCAGTTTATTGTCTGGAAATGGTATGAGCCCATTTTTCTTTACAGCCCCATCAGGGTACCTTAATAACATGGTGTATTGAAACAGTATTATTTTCTGTCCCACCCCTTCGCTGTTGTTTGGTTGCATCATTCCCACGCGACTGCTTCTTACTGCATTCTTTTTATTGCAGTTGATCACTCATTGTATCTGCAGTCACTGAATGTCTCTCCATCTTCACAGAGCAGCTTGAGAGCTATAATTTCTCAAAGCCCGCAGAACCTTTCCAAACATCAGATTTTGCTTCAAGTCATAGGTCCCACTTAACTGGAGGGAACAGGACAATACTGCACCTATCTTCACCCTCTCCAGATACTCTGTTGAGGACAAAGATATTTGTTCTCATTGTGGTTCGCCCCTGCATCCTAGAACAGCAGCTTGTAGAGGGCTTATTGCTCCTTGTAAAGTCGGTAATAAAAGCTTGTTGGCATTGAAGTCACAGTTATAACTAGATATCCAGAAACATATGTTTTTTCCTAAAGCTCTTACATGATCTAAGCTTGGAAGTTTTAAAGAATGGCTATTTCAGTTAAAGGTACCAGGTTTTATCAGACCGGTTTTACCAACAAAAGCTGTAACACAGGTTTTGCCAGCATAATGCTGTATGAAAAAAGGAAACCAGCCCTATCAGTGTCTGAAACACTCGTGTTGCATGCATACACACATACGATCGATCAGCAGAGCTGAACTCCACAGGGTGTCCTTTACCTACCTAGGACAAAAGGGTATATCATAAAGCCTAGGTGAAGGACACCATCCTACGTCGGGATACCTGTATGCTCTAATAGCAAAGCACTCCTACAGTGGATAGGAGTGCTCCTGCACCTGTAAATCTGGATTTTATGCGAATACAGCAAACTCAGGCAAGGTTAGACAGGGACACATTTTCAGATACAGTTTGCCAGTACAACAGGAACACCACACATAGTTTGCAGGATTGCATCTCTACCACCCGACTCACACAGCTACACCAACAAAAATCTAACATTTTTCAAAAGGGTTATCTGTAGTCTAGACAAATCCACAGGGTGTCTGGCAGTCTAGAAACAAGTTGGTAGCTAACAGTGACTTCTGCTTAAGAGAGATTGTAAATACTGAATTATAGCAAGCCTGTGTCCCTTAATGTTATGAGTTCCTATAGATAATTTATGCTCTTCTTCCTAAGCACAGCCAGGCATTTTTATTTTCTCATGCATCACACCAATGCTGACAGTAAATCTCTGTAATATCTAGCCCTCCCTCCATAATAGAAAAAGCTCATTAATATGCCCCAGCTGATTTAGGACACTTTCACATGAATTTATGAATATTCAATTTCCATCTAGTGCTCAGCTTCTTTGTGTCTGGCTGCTGGTCTCTTGAAGAGAGGCTGCCAACGGTCTCATAATACTTTCATTAGCTTTAAACCCTCATATTATGAAATAAGCAATATGTTTAATATCAGTAAGTCACACCTCTGGGAAGAGCCTCAACTTCCAAGAGCCAGTGGCAATTGGAGGTGCTCTGCGTCTTGCTCGATCAACTTGCAAATACAAGCTTTGTCTTCCAGCAAGTGATGCCTTTCATGCTACAAAAACTTGCTCAGAGCAGCGCTTGTCGCCTCAGCACAAGACGCCTGTTGTCACCACGCTGGAAGCAGATTTCTTGCTAAGCAGAACACACCTCTCAGGAAAAAAAAAAAAAAACACCAAAAAAAAAACACACCACAAACTTGCAGTTGTGGGTGATTTTTCAGCTCTGATGAAAATTGGCCTAGCAGCAGCAGAACAAATCACCAAAGACAATTGCAAGAGAAGATATCCTTAGCTGGTATGAACAGCCACGCACCCCAGATGATGGAAAGGAAAGCCTATAGGGACACCTCAACATTACAGGGTAATCAATGTGCTATTCCCCTTCTCAAAGTGGAGAAACCAAGACAGGACAAGCGCTTGAGCCCCACTGAAGTACGACAGGATCTAGGCAGCTAAGCGTGCTCCTAACAGCTCTACTCCTCCTAGCACTCCCATCCATCAGGTCAACAGGCAAAGCAGCACAGATTTCAGGATTTAACACTGTGCAAGTCCAGTGTACACCAGGTGCAGATAACTGTGCCTGGCAAGCTGGTAGCAGCTGCCCCCGAAGGGCCACTTCCAGGGGCACTCTCCTTAACTCTGCAGAAGTCCTGCCATCACATACCAAGTCACTCACAGAAGTCCTAACAGCAACAGGACAAGGACAGAAGTCAGGCACGAGTTCCAGGAAAACACTAAGGCAGGTAAATAGAGGAAATGGCACCATTTAGGAGATTATCCAAAGCCACAGGTGCATCTCCAGCTGTGAGTACTATATTGATACCCTTCCAGAGAAGAGTACTGTCCTCGTAAGCCAGGCTTTCAGCCAGCCCAGGAGGACACGGACCTTTGAAGTGGTGAGTGCTGAGTACAATTCATTTTCATCCTCCGCTTCCTTGAAAAAAGTAATGGGACAAATTTAAAAATGAGTGACCAGCCTGAAAATTGGTTTAAGCTTCTGTAAACCCATCTATCATTCAAGGCACAAGATTTCTTTTAAACTAGTTCCACTGGTGCAGTGAACATTCCATTGAGAAAGGAAGTGGGAAAGATTGCTGTCAGCAAGATGGAAACCTGAAGTGCAAAGCTGGGATGGGAACTGGAATTTACAGTGATGGACCATTAGATTAATGACAGACAGCTGGGGAGAGCTTGAGACAGGCCAGTCTACAGGAGTAATTATATTCTGCTTATCTAAATTTCACCCTAAAATAAAAGCATAATGTTGTCAACATCACTTCCCGTCCTAACCTGCTAATTTACTGGGTCCTATTAAAAAGAGCTGCCCCAAGTATGATGCAGTTCTTACATGCAAGGGATGCCGGCTCTCTGCTGCCAGGCTCCCTGCTCACATGTTGGTACTTGTATTGCACAACTCTGCCAACCAGCACCAGTCCACCATGTGGGAGGAACGGCAAGATGAGTGGCAATGGGAGAAGCAAGAAACAGTTTGTTGTGATCCCCCAGGGGAAAGGGCTGCACCTGTGACGACATCAAAATCCCTGCAGCGTTTTGCACACTTGATCTCTTCCTACCATCAGCAAAGGGCATTACAGCGCAACCAGAATATCAGGATTTATATAGTTTCCATAAAAGCAACCCTGCCCTCCCAACCCAACACCAACAAGTGAGAACTGAGAGTTTTCCTAACCCTGTGCATTCAGCTTCAGCCTGCAGCTCCCACATGGCTGCTGAGCAAGACCAGCCCTTCCACTCGTTGGTTCTCAATGGGTCCATTTACCACCGGTCAGCAAGCTGGGACCCTCCCTTGTAGAGGCAGCGACATACACCATTTTGGCCCTGCCAGAGAAGCCAGCCCTCCCATACCATAGTGCTACAGTGCTTCATGCCAGCTGATCACCTTGGGCATTTATGTGGGACAAGGGCACTAGACCACTTCCAGAGACACTTACCCACTTAGAGGTCTGGTTTTTCTGATCTCGAAGAACTGTGTTCCTGTGTGATTATATCTGAATTTTGTCTGTTAAAGGAAAGTAACATGAACAGTCAAACAATAAAATAACAATGCTCAAAAGGTGAATTTCAGTTCTGATTTCCTGTTGAAACATAAACAGCAGTAAAGACATTGACGCTGAGGCGAAACCCTGGCATGTGAAATAAAGCAAAATTTTTTGCTTGTCTGTTCATATGACGTATTAACCAGCATTAGGTGGAGATTCAGGCAAAAAGGTTGGTTGTCTAAAACAACACTTAAGTTTGGCATTTGAGAGTTCTGAATTCTCTTCTCCTCTAGGTCCCACTCACTATTAGGTTACAAGTTTGGAAAAAAGTCTTCCATTTTGGCCAGAGAAAGCTTTTATAGGCTACCCAAACCAATCAGTATCATTCATTGTTTGAAAGAACTTACTTAAGTTTTTAACTCAGTCAGCTGCATAGCTCACATGACCTGTTAACCAAAAGCACAGCACGTGCATCCATTTACAACCAGGAAATATAAATCATTCTCCAAAAAACACAATGCACTTAAAATGAAAATAACCAGCTAAGTGCAACTCAAGAACTTAGTTAAAGACTATAAGCATAGGAGAAAAGTTCATCACAAAGGATGCCAGAGACAGTCACCCATCAACCAAACATCAGCACCACTTGCAAGCCACCATGCAGCAGCACGAAAAGCAGCCTCTTCCCTGCTCCTTGAGCATAGCTGTTCAAGCAGTAATGCAGTAAAACAGATCAGGAAAATGATCTGCCCAGTAAAACAAAAAAAACCCCCACCCAGTAACAACAATTAAAAAAAAACCCACACCATCCACTTACTTTTTCTAGATTATTTTTCCAGCTGAATCTGTTCCCTGGTCTAGTTCCCAACAGCCACAAGAACACTGAAGCCAGCAAAATTGTGGTGGTGATACCAGGGCAGAAACAGGTGACCCCATGGAGACAAAGGGTACCTTGCAAGGCATACCAAGCACAGCTGCTGGCTGTATAACCATGGTCTAAATAAAGACTCCAGCTTGCACCAGGATGCTCTGAACTGACTAATTTAGAGTTCAGAGTTCTCCAGAAACAAGGCTTTGCTTCCCTCCTGCCTTCAAAACCTAATTCATGAGGCCCTTTCAGAGTGCTCTCAACAAAGCACACAGCCTTCTTTTAACCCTCAAAGAGAGCCCAGATCCTGCTCCCCAGCACACTTTGAAGCTTTTCTGTACACAGATCCAGGCCTAAGGCCTGCTCCTGCTATGTAGCAGCGTGCCACATTTCAAGACCTCTGGGGAGTGGAGCAGCAGGGGGAGTTTTGATTTGTGTGACATGGTCTCCTCTGCAGCACAGCCCACTGAGCAGCGAGCCTCTCATCCTGCCCAAGTGGCCGACATGCAGCAGAGAAATGTGCCATCCCCCTGCAGAGCAGGCTGGACCCAGCCTCCCTCCCCACAGCAGCTGCCTTGATCCCCCTGCTGCCGCCTTGATCCCAACCACTGCTCCCCAGCAGGCTAACCGCGCCTGCTATTTTTGGATGCTCTTCCAGCTGCCACCCATATCCTTTCTTAATCCTTACCAGGACTTTACATTCCTTCCTCATGCCCACTGCTTCCCACACACACACGCGCACATAAACACACAAAATGGGAGAGTTTTGAAAAAAGGAAAACAGAGAGAAGAGCAGCATCTGTGCCAGCAATCGTCTCCTCCAACGTTATCTGTCAGCAATGGAAACAGTGAGGTATGGGGCAGTGATAGGGAGGCTGGATAGATGTGTACATCTCTGATAAACCCCCCAGGGCAAGGTGGGACAGCTGGAGGGAGGGGGATTCCTTTGGTCAGTTCCTGTGCCACAGGCAAGCTTGCCCACCTTGGGGTCAGGACAGCTGCTTGTGTCCCCCACCCCAACAACAAGCACTCCCTGCAAGCTGAGCACACAGGCAGTCCTCAGGGGGCCCACAGGGGCTGCCAGGGCAGATGGAGAAAGGGTTTGCCACAACACCAGCTCTCCCTTAGTCCCTTTACGGCAAGATGCCATATTATGTCTCCAGACATCACAATCCGATCATAATATCCTCAGAAACCTACTTCAAAATAAGCATTTCTACTCCCATCAACATCACTTCAGTTAAATTCTTCAGTATCATTTAACATTAATTACACCTCCCAGAGGATTACTGTGACAAGCTCAGTGCTGCAGGTTCTATCACAAATCCTTATAGCATCCTTTTACCCATGAAGGATCCCAAGGCCTCACAACCAGCTAGTGCTCTGGTGAACCCCCTGTTAATTCACACTGAGCACAAGCTAGCCTTCTCTCCAGAGATGCACGCTAGAGAAGGATACTGCAGCATCTTCATGTAGGTCTGTATTGCCTGGAGCCATTCTGGGATCGACATGGAGAGCTTGTAGTTTGGCACTGGTGGCACTGAGGGCTGGACACAAAAAAAAAAAAAGATAAAGAGGTTAGACAGTTACCGCTCCCTGCAGAGCGGATAAGTGATTTACTTGGGCAGCAGCATGCGCTTATTGCAACCCAACACAGCGGCACAGATGGCTTGAACCCCACGTGAACCCAAGCATTGGGCAAAGTCATCCTGCTGACAACAGGGGCTGCCTGTGCACCAGAGTCGTCCTGGGTAGGTAAGGGCAGGCTCCTGCCACAGCAGGCTGCTCATCCCGGCCACCACCGTCCCTCAAACACTGTCCTGTGTGGGCAGGCAGTCCAGCACAGAAGTCCAACGCTTCCCATTTTACCCCTCTACCACAGGGCAGTTTGGATGGGCAGAGTCCCAGCACTGGCTCTGCTATCCTCCCTCAAGAAGACGTTTCCAAGTCTAACTTTTGGTTTCCTCTACCATGAGACAAAGATAAAGGGAGACAAGGATCATGGACTGCGTAATTTCCCACCTGCTACAGCACACTTGCTGGGCAGGGAGAGCGAGGTACCTAGAAGACCACCTGGGACCCAGATATTTAATGATATTATGACACTTAAAGATATAGACTGGCACCGTAATGGGATTTTTCCAAAATCCCATAAGACATCTGCTGTGCCTAAGCACTGTAAGAAGCCAGGACGTCAATCTATTTTTAATCCCCACAGCTACGTGGCTCCTGAGCCTGTAGCCACGCAGGGAAGGGGCAGGGCCTTGTCCCAAGGCCCCTTATTTTAGGGGCAAGACTGCAAAATACAGGGTCAGCATGTGTTAAAACAGGCAGCGTGGCTAAAAAAGTTAGTACAATTCTCAGAAACATAATCGAGGAAACAGTTTAAATATTAATGCAGACCCAAATTCAGGAACCAGCAACTTGGGCAGCCCTGATGAAAGGTGCAAAGGAAAGCATGCGGTGTCTGCAGGCCTGTGACGTCGTTACAATAGTTTGAAGATCATAAAGCGAAATACCACTGCTCTAAAGACACTTTGAGTCAGCAATTACAGATAAGAAAAGCAAGAGCAGGTGGTACAGAGCCATCTCTGCCACATAGACTTCCCTCTCCGGTTCCCACCTCCACTACGATGGAGGGATTGTCTGTTTGCTTTCAGAGAGCAAGCACCAATCAAGATGACTAAAACCCAGCATTTACTACATGTAGCTAGTTACTACAGTCTAACAGCACATACACCTCAGAGAAGGGCAAAAACTCCAAGGAGAGACTGCTACATCACTGGCACACAGAAACGTATTTTAAGTGGCAAGACGACAGACAGCCAGGCCTCCAGCACGCTGCCGCCATCCCCAGCGCCACGCGAGAGGCGACTGCGCACACACGGGTTTTCTCTCCAGACAAGTGGGAGTTACGAGCAAGGTTCATTAATGTTTCTTAATCACAATTTCCAGACCTAACCTCTGATTAGAGGCAATTTTTCGGTTTCACAAGTTCCTTCTGCCCCCATCCCCTTTGGTCCGGGCGACTTACTCGCCTATGCCTCCTGGCACTAAGGCAGGCCTGCACTCAACGCACCAGACGGGGCTCAAGCTTCAGGAGCAGCAAGGGGTTGAAAGAGGGAGTTAAGGCAGGCCTGTCAAATCCTTCTAGGTACAGTAATTCCTGCTCTGATGTAAACACTCCATTTCTTCAAACATGAAGAAACTCCAGGTGCACACATTGCACATACACAGCACACCAAGGCAATGGGAGTCCCAGCCAGCAAGAGGCCTGGCTGCTGCACAGCAGCTAGGGGAACAGCACCCCTTTCCCAGCCCTCCATAAAATGGAGGGCCCTTGCCCTTGCCCAGCTGTGGGGTGGGACAGTATCCCATAGGGACCACACCAGTGTGAAAGGACGCAGCCCTTGCTGTAACCCACAGCAGCCACCCTGGCCATGGTGGGTTTGGACCTCCAGGCAAGGTGCTTCCTTCTCCAAGCAAAGGATGATAGTGTCAGCCCCCTGGGCGTGCTCAGGTAAAGAGAACCAGGGTTTTCCCAATGGGTGACACATCCGTTTTTTCCCCTCCAAATTCCTGCCCCAGCTGGAGAAGCACCGATCCTGGGCACCCAGCCAGCACAGAGCAGAAGCCAGCGAAGGAAAGCGCAAGGTGGTTGTGGTTGAGGCTGCAGCCCTCCAGCCACCGGTGCACTTCCCAGCGCAGCAGCCAGGAGCCAGCGAGGGTTTGTAGCAGGCGGCCAGAGCCGCCAAGGGGAAACGCAGACACAGCACTACACACCATGAATTTATAAAGCGAGTGAAAATCAGAGACCAGGCAGATGAAAGGCCTTGACCCCCTATCAGTATTTCTAAGCAGTGGCAGCTCCAGAGACAGCAGAGCCACTGCAGTGCAAAACCTTGTGGCAGAGCTGGAGACCGTGATCCTGTGGCTGGAAACACTGTAGTCTCAGTTCACCACAGACATCCTGTGTGAAACTCATCTCGCCCGACTCCACTGTGACTCATTTAATGAGCAGAAAGTCATTTTCTGCTAGCTTCACCCTGCAAGTACACTGTTACTTAGCACCAGTGAAGCAGGCAGGCTAGATCCCTCAAAGCTGGCAAGAGGTTCAATTCATTAAAATCTACAAGTATCTCCAAGATCACTGGCCACATAAAGGATTGCAGAGTCCTTCCAGACCAGTAGCCCACACCCTACCCAAAACTCAAGAGGTGGGGGGTGAAACCAAGGGACCTCTTAGGTTCTGAAACTGTCCCCTTTGCAGACAGGCAGCTTTTCATGAGGACCCTTCCTCCCAGGACAGATGCAGCCCTACACCCCTGCAGTCTGCATTTGTTCCAGTGAGGACAACCTCACCAATACAGTAAGAAGCTACTTACTGCCCTGCATGTATGATTGCTGAGACTAATACCAAGATGATTAGAGCAATCAAGTGGAGCTTCTTGCAGAGGGGATGAAAACTCTCTCCCATCATCAGGGATTAAGAACAGATCAGATGTAAAAATGGAGCAGTTGCACACACCACTCACTCAGCCTCCACCAACTACCAATGCAAGCGGATTACAAGCAATCTTCTCATAGGCACAAGTTTCCCTCGTTACTCCCAACCAGCACTAGCTGGTCTTTTGCAAGGTGCCACATACTCTGCAGCACAAGCCAAGTAAAAAAAGCTGTACCATTATTTAAGGAACAACTATCCTCTCACATTCCTACTCTGACACAGAAATTACCATCACAACTTCAGCAACCCACCACCACTTTGTAACAAACCAACCTGCTCCTAACCTTCATTTGCTCACCTGAGCTGTGTTGGCCTTAATAAGGACCAGATGGTCCTCAACCTACCCTCTGACCCCAGAGGTCACAGACTTAGCCACCAAGAGCTAGTTGTCACAGGGGGACACCAGGTCCTTCTGCCCTTGAAGAAGTTAACAACTGCAACAGGGAGTTTGCTGCCGGACAGTGCTGGAGGAATGCAGTACAACCCTTACAGCACCCTCCACTGATCAGCAACTACTAACTAACATCAAATGATTTAGCCAAGCAGCTCTCAAAACATTTTTCCTCCTACCCAGCTTTAGCATGTGCCACACTGAGTCAGCCTTGTGCTTTTGGCACTGAGAAAGAAGCCATGGGCGATGCTCTCTGGGGCACTCCAGCAGGCAGCATGCCAGCATACTGGAGCCACTGGCACGTTCCTCACCAGATGCTTTGTCAGTCACTATGGGCATCACCAGTAAAAGTCACATGCTTTGAAGCTAGGAAACAAATCAAGTCCAGCGAATGCTTTGCCATCTTAACACCAAACAGATCTGCAGGCCGTTTAGACTAGTGCAAGCTGGCCACACTGCTGAGCCAAGAAGTTCTGCCCTCCCCCTGCCCCTTCATTTCTACCTCAAGTGCTTGTGCAAGTATTAGATGAACCCCACCAGAGAACCACAAACCAACCGAGCAAAACTAGATTATTCTTTAGCTGGATCTGCTCTCCCACCCAAAGGCTGGTGCCAGCATGAGGGAAGCCGAGGAATGGAGAGAACAGGGATTGCCCCTTTTGTACTTATGCTGAACTAAACACTGCAGAAATGATGAAAGGCCTTTTCAGTTTGCATCTTGCTTGACAAGTGCCTTCGCAAGATGACCCTACTCAATACACCTTCAACCTGTATGTGCACAGAATTTTTCCTTTCTACCCCACATAAAGAGCAAGCATACCTATCACTGCCAACCAGGACTGTGACAATGCCAGCCCAACCATCTCACCCCAGCATGCAGAGGGGTATGAATCAACACCGACTTCAGCGGTCAGCTCAGATGAATGCTGCTTGGTGGGAGGAGCAAATCAAGCTCCAAGTCTGCCAAAGCTGACAGCGTTAAAGACACTGTGATCAGTAAAGCAGCGCAGTGGTGAGAAGCCTTGGAACATCAGCAGACAACAATATTTTATGTGCTGGCCGGAGGAAAAAGAAAAGATTAGGTCAGGCAGAGCTGTTTGGAGCTTGTACCAAGGAACTTACAAGACAAAAGTGTTCGGAATCTTTCCAGGTACTGGAAATGAAGTGCCCGAGTTTTGAATCCTTTATTACATTTCAGGAACAAGGCTGTGTTTCAGGAAATGCCTATGTTCCAAAAAGCTGAGCAAAATGTGCTTCAAATTGCACAAAATGCTTCTCACAGTCCCTGAAGATTTCTTTAATTCTTGTTTTCTGCTTTTTTCCTCCCCCAGATTAAAAAAAAAAAAGTATTCCTACTTCTGTCCCGAAACACCCACTCCA